CGCCGACGCCGTCTCCACCTTTGAGGTACCCTGAACCCGGCTGGAGCTGGACTCCAGCAGGAATTCACCATGTTGCCCAGGCTGGTCTCAAACCCCTGGACTGAGGCAATCCTCTCGCCTCCACCTCCCAAAGTGCTGGAATTACAGGTGTGAGCCACCACTCCTGGTTTGCATGTGTTCTAAGTCTGCACTTAGCAAGTAATTTGAAGAACTTCTGGCATTTGAATTAGCAATGTTTGTTACTTAGCACTTTGCATGTGACCAAAGATGACACTGTCAGAGAAGATCATGGCTGTGTCTGGTTAGGTGAAGGATACCCAGTGTAGTCCACAATGCACCATCTCCAACCTGTGAAGGTTTCCTTCTGGGAAGCCTTCCAACTCACACCTTTTACAGTGTCTGATGGAGGCCAGGACTAGGTTTCTAATCGTGTGTCCTTCTTAGCCATCAACACAGAGCTTTACAGGCATTCAGGGAAAGTTTGGAGGCATGCTAGGTCAAGCATTAATTAGTGTTCCCTAATAATTGCCACTTAATTGGAAGCAACTTCCTAAGGTCAAATAGGTGGGAAGCACCAGAGGTGGAATTTGAACCCAGGTGTTCTGACTTTGGCCTCTCTAAACTCTGAATTTGTTTACCTGTAAGGAGGAAGTGGTATCTGTGCCATTTCCAACCTCAGTTCAGCTGTGATTGGTAAACTTGATGTCCTATTTAAGGGGTAGCCTGGCTGCCTGTTTGTTAGAATCAAAGTCTGATTGGAACACAGCCATGCCTGATCCTTTATGCATTGTCTGTGACTGCTTTCAAGCTGCAGTTTGAGAGTTGTCATAGAGACCACATGGCCTGCAAAACCTAAAATTCTGTCTGGACCTTGAAGAGTCTGCTGACGCCAGCCACCTGTTTGGTGTTCAGTTTCCCAGTGCTGTGCTTTGCTCATAGTCCTACTGAAAAGCTCTTGAGAGATTGATTAGATCCGGCCTTCAGGAGTCACACTTAACCTTCCTTGTATCTGTCTCATCCCTGAGTCACATGATGACATACTTCAGTTCTTTCTTATCTGTTCCAGTGCTTCTTACTTACATTGTAATGTTTTTGTAACACTCACCATTCTTAACCCAAAACAAGCTTTATTGTGTATGAAAATAGGTCATTTAACCACATTTCATTTTGGGTATATTAAGAACTGTTAGTAAATCTTAGATAAATAAAACAGTAAACCTATATTCATTCATTTCAATTGTGTAGAAAATAATTACTTGAGTAATAGTATTTTGGGGTTTTTTTTGGGGGGTTTTTTTTGTTTTTTTTAGTTGGAGTCTCACTCCATTGCCCAGGATGGAGTGCAGTGACACAGCCACTCCAGCGTCAACCCACCGAGCTCAGGCGATCCTTCCGCCTCAGCCTTCCAAGTAGCCGGAACTACAGGAATGCGCTACCTCACCTGGCTAATTTTTTTATTTATTGTAGAGATGAAGTCTCTTGCCAAGTTGTCCAGGCTGGTATCAAACCCGTGGGCTCAGGCAATCCCCTTACCTCAACCTTCCAAAGTGCTGGGATTACAGGCATGAGCCACACACCTGGTCTGGTGTTAAGCTATTTAAGTGTAAAAAGTAGTATGTATTATCAAAAACACAGTGCGCCCAGTCATTTTGTTTATGTGAATGATACTTAATTTAAGGAAATGGTTTTGGATCTTACCTGCCTGCATGCCCTTGTGGGTAAATTTCAGTGATATGTAAAAAATGCTGGAACCAATTTTCCTTGAAATGAACAATTTGTTCTTTGCCTAATGACAGTTGCTGTCTTGTTTTTATGTTTAAGGAAGATACGTTATGGACTCTACCACTCCCTCTTAGAATGGTTCCACCCACTCTATCTCCTTGATAAGAAAAGTGGCTTCAATACACAGCATTTTGTCAGAACAAAAACAATGCCAGAGCTGTATGACCTTGTTAACAGGTAAGAAACAGAAATGTTTTGACCTTATGACCCTTATCAGTGAAATCAGAGCTTCCTATAGGGTGGGAGAGTGGCAGATATGAAAAAAACTAGAAGACATCAAAATAATAGAAGTAGTGGTTATATTAAGTCAAACTATGTTCTTTCCTCCTACTTTTCAAAACATCTGTAATATAGTCATAGTGTCTTTATGCAATGAAACAATCACACAAAACCCAGGATGATGAAAGTCAAAACTTCTGTTCCCTGTGGGCCGTTTTCCCTATATCAGAACCTTGGAGAGGGGGCGCTTTGACATCAGGCAGATTTGCATTTGAATTCTGGCTTTTGACACTTGCTACCCTTAAATAGAACACCCTTCTGAGCCTCAAATTTTCACTCTGTAATATGGGGATAATAATGCCTTCTATGCCTGCCTAGGCAAGATAGAATGACCTCATCTCGACCAAAAAAAAAAAAAAAAATTAACTGGGCATGGTAGTACACATCTATAGTCCCAGCTACTTGGGAGGCTGAGGTGGAAGGATTACCCGAGCCCCGGAGGTCAATCTTGCCACAGCACTTCAGTCTGAGGGATAGGGTGAGACCCTTAATCAAAAATAACAATAATGCCATCTATGTAGGGCTCAGAATCATATGTGAAATGTGGGCCTGTTAAAATGATGGAATTTGTCACTAGTCTTCACCAGGTCTTTTTTTTTTTTTTTTTTTTTTTTTTTGATTTGGAGTCTCACTCTGTCGCCCAGACTGGAGTGCAGTGGCACGCTTACAGCCACCATAGCCTCGACCTGCTGGGCTGCGGTGATCCTTCCGCCTCAACCTTCCAAGCAGCTGGAACTACAGGCACGCGCTACCACGCCTGGCGAATTCTTGATTTATTGTAGAGACGAGGTCTCACCAAGTTGCCCAGGCGGGTCTCGAACCCGCGGGCTCAGGCAATCCACTGAGCTAGGCCTCCCAAAGTGCTGGGATTACAGGCTGAGCCACTGAGCCCTGCCCTTCACCTGGCCTTATCCCTAGTTTGCAATTCTTGCCCCTGGTGGCTATAGCAAATGGTAGACCCTTAAAGCTTCAGAGGTAGCCGCCTGGCCTCTCATTTTAGAACAACAACAAAAAAAAAACTCCAAATATCCAGATTCATCTAGATGACTTCTCTAAGGAGCCAGCACAATTATAAAGACTAGCAGAGGCTTGGACAAACCAGACAATACTGGATTGAATCCCAGTTCTATTTTCTTACTGACTGTGACTTTGAACAAACTACTTAATCTTTGAAGACCTCAGTTTCACCATCTGTGAATTGGCGATAATCACCATAGAGTCATGAGAACTAATGAAGTAATGAGTGTGATTGCCTAGTACAGTTTCTTATACACAATAAAACACAGACCATCTGTGTTATATCTGGCTACAGACAGCGACCTTTTTCCTAGAATTTACTTGTGGGCCTAATTATGGAGTACAGTAGAGAGTTTGGCATTAGGCAGATGTGTATTTGAGTTCTGACTCCTGTTATGTAAAAGTTTTTTCATCTAAAACAAATTGCCCTGCTGAGTATCAAATTCTTGCTAATAAAATGGGAATAATAATACCACATAGGTAAATATACGTATATTTACATATACACAGATCTTATAGGGCTCAGAGTAATAATACTCAAAAGGTACAACTGAGGCTCAAATGGATTCTAAAGATCCTTTATACTAGAAAGTTTGGGTAGTTGGGGAAAATAATGCATTTTGGGGAATAACTGAAGCTCTTAATACTTCTTTTTTTTTTGGAGAAAGCAGGATTTATTGAGAGGACAGAAATGCTCCTACAGTGGGAGGGGACCCAAAGTGATTGCCCAACACTTTTTTTTTTTTTTTTTTTTTCAGTTGGAATCTTTCACTCTGTTGCCCAGGCTGGAGTGCAATGGCACCACGCTCACAGCCACCACATTCTCAACCTGCTAGGCTTAAGCAATCCTCCCGCCTCAGCCTTCCAGCTAGCTGGAACTACAGACACGCACCAACATGCCCAGCTAATTTTTTTTTTAATTTATTGTAGAGATAAGGTCTTTCCAAGTTGCCCGGGCTGGTCTCGAACCCCTGAGCTCAGGCAGTCCTCTTCACCTCGGCCTTCCAGTGTTGGGATTATAGGCATGAGCCACCACAACCGGCCAACACACTTAAAAGCAAAACCTTGGTCCTCCAGTTCTGGAGCACCTTGTTTGTGTGTGGCCTTCCCAAAGTGCTGGGAGTATAAATGTGAGCCACCACGCCCAGCCTTTTTAAATTTATTGTAGAGATGAGTTCTCACCATGTTGCCCAGGCTGGTCTTGAACCCATGGACTCAGGCAGTCCTCTCACCTCCGCCTCCCAAACTGCTGGGATTACAGGCGTGAGC